GTTCAAAATCTAAACTTTTTACCACGACGTGTCTGCATAAATAGGGAAATAACTCACCCTTTCGGAAACTTACTCAGTCCTTGAAGTCTTATACGGTAAGAGTTGTAGTATTTGTAACATTGGTTGTTACGGTTTTTTTTTTTATAATATAGAGCACCGCTTTATGGCTGCTCATAAGGCTTTCATGTCACAGTGTTGTCTGATCGATGTTCGCTTGTTAAGCAAACCTTTAATTTTTGTTAAGGTTGCTTATAATATAAATGAAATTCATAGATAGATAGATAGACGTTTATTAAGAATACCTTAATAGCAGCTGGAAGCTGAATTACAAAGGTGTACAAATTATATAATAGAACTATACAATAAAATCAAACCTAAAAGGGAACTAATTTACATATGGGCCCATATACAATTGTAATAGATGTCAATTAAAATGTCTTGCGCTTGCTGGAATGGAAGTATCTCTGAACCGATTTGTTTTAAAGGAAACTCTAAATGGTCTGCGTCGTCGTAACTCCATAAGTTGATCTCGGTTGTCGAAAGGCAGTAAGTGGTACAAACAATCCAAGGGATTGGAGACGATGTTGTTAAAGAATTTTAAGCAAAGGTCTTCCTCCGATCCCTTAGGGTTTTCAGCTCTGCCATCTGAAGCACTTCTCTATAATGATTATCATAACCGTATATAATTTTCAAGGCTCTCTTTTGGACACGCTCTAAACTTAAGCTCAAATAATCGGGGAGACTATAATGGTAGACCTGACATCCATAAAGTAAGACGGATTGAATGCAAGCAACATAAAAATTCACTAATTCTGGTGATGGTACCTTAGCTCGCTTTAACTGAGTTAAAAAGTAAAGGCGCTTAGCGGCCCTTTTAATCATCTCAGTAACGTGAGTGTTCCACTTGAGGTTGTCTTGAAAATACACACCCAGTAATTTCACGACACTAACGGCGCTAACCTTAGAGCCATTAATTTCTATGAGATCGTAGGAAGGAGGGGAGCGCACGAAGGAAACTCTTAGCTCATTACATTTTTTCGGATGAAGTTGAAACGAGTTAAGTGTTGACCAGGTAGCTACTTCGTTTATCATAGACTGAGCATTGCTAGGGCCACCCTTGCTTATGATTTCATACACTGTCGTGTCATCTACATATTTTATACAATCACTGGCTGATGGTACTTTCAAATCATTTATCATAACCAAGAATAGCCACGGTCCCAGTTTTGTTCCCTGCGGTACTCCTGCTCGGACCGATCCCCACTCTGAGAGACAATCATGTGCAAGTTTGACCCTTTGTTTCCTATCTTTAAGAAAGGCTATTATCCAATTAATGATGTAAGGGTTGATATTGTAGGTCGAGAGTTTCGATAGCAAGAGACTGTGATCTATCAGATCGAAGGCTTTTCTATAGTCCAACGCAAAGATCCGCACGGTGTTCCCCGTTCCGTCTGTTGCTTGCGCCCAATTGTGCATCAGGTTTATCAATGCATGCGCAGTGGAGGATCCTGGAATACACCCAAATTGATCGGGTTCCAGGCGTTTCAGAAGTGCTGGTTTCACATGTTCATGGACGACGTAGTGCTCGGCAATTTTGGACAACGTTGGTGTCAGTGAAATAGGTCTCAAATCTTTCGCCGCATCCTCAACTATCTTTGTTTTGGGAAGAGGGGTGATGTTTGCACATTTCCAAATGTCCGGTAATGTCCCTTGACTAATCGAGGAATTGATGATACAACGAAGAGGTTGAGCTAGCTCAGGAGCGAAGTCACGCAAGACCCAGTTTGGGATATTATCTGGGCCCCCAGCTTTGGAGGAGCTGACCGTACTAAGGCATTTGAAGGTAGCTTCCAGTGAAATAATGGGAGTTTTAAAACCCTCAGTGCTCACAGTTTCGATATTATCTAAAAGTGGGTCAAACGAAGCTTGAGGTTCTAGCAGAGCTGTGTTGATTTCATTAGCCAAGATCTTAAGGTTGATTGAGGTAGCTGGTTTACTTGCTAGGAGCTGATTTGCGACACTTGTAGATGTTTTGTTCATTCCACATAACCGCCTTCATTCGGACCACCACATTTTAGGATTGTTTTCGGTCAAAACGCTGACTTAAGTGTTGTAATAAGAGCGTTTGCAGAGCTTCCGTTCCCTGTTTACTTTGTTCCGGTAGTAGTGGAACAATGGTTTGTTGTCTTGGTAATATGCTCTTTGACGGTGTGCTATAAGTGCCTTGAGTTTGGGTGAAATCCATGGTGCGTCGTTTCGGTGGAACTTAACTCGCTTTTTGGGAAGGATAGAATCTAACCCTATGTGAATTAGGTCACTAAAGTGAGCATACTGTTCTTGGACGCTATCTATAGTGTCGATTAATGACCAGTCGACCCCCGTCATATAACGACCAAAAGCCTGTTTGGACTCAGCGTTAACAGCACGTGTAGTAACCTTTTTGTTTGCAGGAATATTGGCCTTCGATCTAATTTTTGGAAACAAACCAACAGTACAATGATCGGATAGTCCGAAGGGCGGGAATGGAGAAGGTTTCTCGTAGTGTTCTGTAAGATTAGTTAGCACTTTGTCGAGTGTACGATCCCCTCTTGTTGGAAAATGGACGACTTGCGTGAGGCGGAACTGCTTAATAACTGGTGAAACATTTGCCCTGTTCCAGTCGCCAGCGAGAATTATACCTGCGCCAGGGATATCACTCTCTATCCTAGAGAGAGAATCCATCATGTAATCAAGGAGGGGCTCATCTTTGGCAGGCGGTGGAGGATGGTATACTGTACCAATGATAAGGCAGCTATAACCCCGGGGCAATCGGTTGGGCGTGATTTTGGCCCACAAAACCTCAGGGCCCTCGGGGTCAGGAAACTCATAGTCCCGTAGAATTGAGAATTTGATGGAATCTTTTACATATAGAGCCACACCCCATGTAGCTTGTGGGTCCTATCTTTGCGTATGATGTTGTAGCCACTAATGTCAACTACGCTGTCGTCAATAGAATCTTTCAGCCATGTCTCCGTTATACAACAAAGATCAAACTCGTGGGTGTTCAAAAAAATACGAAGTTCGTCTATTTTTGGTGCCAAACTCATTACATTAGACACAGCTATTGACGGTACGAACTGCAAGGTGTTTTTCCTGGCGTCGATGTTTCTCTTAGGCTTGATAATAGCCAGATTATTGAAATTGACGGCTCTTTCTTCTGTGTAACGGCTGGAGGAAACACGTGTAGTTACTCTCACGGGAATTGTTGAAAGTCTCGGTAAAGCGTGATTATTGAACCATAAAGATTCATTCAAGATGGAAGAGTTATAGCAATTAACAGTTCTTGGTCTTGTGTAACTACTGGAGATGGCGCGTGTGGTTGTTCTCACGGGAATTACTGAAAGCCCCGGTAAGGTGTGATTGTTCGACTGTGAATAATTATTCAAGGTTGAAAATTCATTCGTTTCTGAAGAATATTTGCTTCGGCCTGTATTTAATTGTGTTTTAGTAAGTCTTCCGGACCGTTTCCCTCGGTACTTAAAAAAAATTCCATCCGCTCGAATGTTCTTAAATAAAACTGACCGTCTCTCCTGAAGGCTGTAATTTTTCCGGAGCGACACCAGTTCGCGCCGAGAGTACTGTAGGGTCGTTGTTTGGCGAATTGGAGAATCAAGCTGCCGAATTAAATCTCTAGTGGCTCTCTGCCGGCTACCAATGGCGATAATAGATTGAGCAGGACCGGGGTTGGTCGAAATATCAACGTATACCGTGATGTCCAATGGAGGGTCGTGGCCAGGGATGACTAAGGAGACAAACCCGTGTTTAGTGTGCTTCTGCATTGGAACTCTTGATCGATGAAAACCATCTTTGACGATACAAGTGCATTTCTTCTTGAGTTGAACAGCAGTGTGCAGGGGTTCCCACCTTGATTTAAAAGTAGCCTCAAAGGATAATAAATGGTTTAGAAATGCAGCGCTTAAACAGGATAGAATAGTGATAGAAACTAGAGCTACTCTAAACGTGGCCGCCATGATTGGCGCCGATATGCTAATGACGATGGTTGTGCATATATCCCATCTTGATTGCATAACACTACGACTCGATTTTGGCGTTCGCATCTTTTTTCATCTCCGTAACCTCAGTGACATATATGACCGTTTGCATACTTTTCGTTCTCTTTTCTCTTATCTTTAGACCTTTTCTTTGGGTCACAGATGCGCATGTAAGAATGTTTGTGCCCTTAAAAAAGAGGAAAAAGTTCCATCTACAACTCCAACTAGTAGGTTGAACTATGCCAGAGATATTTTTTGACTTTTTGTCTGTCTGACATAGATGTATTATTTTTGAAAGGGATGGTATTAACATACAGTTTGCTGATCTCATGATTGAACACATCTTATTCCTTAATGTGGCTGATGAGTCTCTTCTTTCTTATAAGACAGAGTTACTTAGAGAGGTTTGTGTTTGTCCGGTTTTTTAGGACCATCGAACACGGATATGGATGCTACTGTAATGATTGCTTGTGCTGGGACCGTTACTTTTCTTGCCCTCCTATCTCATTGCTTTAGAGGAAGAGGTAATAACGACAACAATGAACAACGGCCCCTGCTGAATAACGCACTGGATCGGCCAAGAATTGAAGTAATAAACAATATGATAAAGTGACAGAACCTAGAGCGGCAGTAACATTCAATGCCTACAACCTTCTAGTGTGCATACATGCTTATGTAAGTCGAGGAACAGCAAATTTAAGTTTCTATTAACAGTTATGAAATGATTTGGCACTTTCTGCTCATCTGATGCAATCTTGACACGAAGTACCCCGATTGATTTTCGTAATCGAAGGAGTTCCATAAGATGATTTTTTGTACTTTAATCGAAATCCTTAGGAGAGCTGAGCACAAGAAGTAAATTTGCGAGGCTCTTTGCACATGTTAATGTGACTTAAGTAAACGAGTATTTTTGCAGACTCATAACCTGTAACATTAAGATGTCAATGGACAAAAAATAGCAATTTTATGTCGGCCATATTACACCTATTTGGTTGAATTGAAGGTGAAAAATAAAAGAAGGCCATTGCGGATTACCAAACCAATTCTATAAGGGGAAGGAAGACGCTTTTTTTTCCAATTTAATGCTTATTCTTGTAGATTACTAAGAAGTTACTGTAGCTACCATTTATGGATATCATTTATCTTATCCTTGTATTGGTCTGAGCAAATTTAGGTTGTTTTTAATATTTGATGCATTTGTTACTTTATCTATCAAGGAACGCTGGTGTAAGCAAAGATCACCCTGTGTAACAATGATAATAAACGTGCAAGTTTTACGCTTTTTACTTCTTGTCAGGATCTCAATCTGTAGTCTTTACGCTTTATTTGCGTTGCGGTAATGCTCACACCTCTGTGAAGAGGAAAGTTTCTTAGACATACTTCTAAAGAATAAATGGAAAAGTGTGATGGTATTATGTTTTTAAAATGAAATTTCTTAACAGCTAAATTTCACAAGAATCCATAAGTTGCTGTGCTTCTTGACTTTCCCCGCGGGCTTGAAATTTTCGCCACACAACTACTCCGATTAAAGCTGCGGCAATCGCTCCTATCGCAACTCCTATCACGGCCAAAGTGGTTCCTGTCCCTACCAGACAAAGAAGGTACAGATAAATGTACGTAAAATGCACAATTTCTCGCTCTAACGGATAACTACCTCAGGTGAAACACCAAAATAACGAGGGCGTCCTGAGACAAGAGAAACAACTTAGACACAGCTTGGAGCATATCTAATACTATTCTTCGTGTTATCTTCGACAACGGCTTCTTTTTAAATGAAATCGATCGCTTATATTACGTCAAGTTTGATCTGTGTACTCTGAAATTAATCACTTAATATTTCACCTGTAAACAGGGTTTTTTCCTTTATGATTAATTCTAACAGATGCAAATGCTTTACCGTTCTTATGATCTGTTGTGGAAGTCTTCAACTGAACTTCTGCTCCCATTGAGCCAGAAGAAATAACCGATGTTGACCTATACAAAGCAGCGGCAGCGGTTTCGACAGGCACAGTAATGTTTAATGGAAAAAATCTGTTCACGAGAAGTTCAAAAGTTAGCGCAATTATTACCATTACTACCAAGTAATGTAACTCCACTGATAAAAAGCCAAAAAAAAGTTTAAATGTTTTGTGGTATATGGAATGGGATGGTGTAGAATAGAATTAAAATTCCTAAGTTTTGTTGAGTTCAAATTTTGAAGTTTTTTTTAGATTGCAAACCCCGCTATCGTAAATGTAGTCCTTTTACTAAGCCCGAGGAGAACCAGTTCTCATTAATTTAGTTTTGTCAACTGAGTTGATAACATAAATTGACCACCGTAAAGAGTTACAAAGCTGACGTTTTTAGCCTTATCCCTACGTCAGAGTGAATGACGAAGGGCTAACGCTCCAAACGTCAGCTTTGTTACTCTTTAAGGTGGCCAATTTACGTTATTGACTCAATTGATAATACTAAATTACCCTTTTACACTCTCCCACCGACTCAGGACCACAGTTTCTTTAGAAACTTCCCCCACTCCAGCCAGTTCTGATTAGTTTACCCATTAGAGTCCTCAAAGTTTAATACCAAACATTCTAGAAACCCACGAATGTACTAGGTCTGGAATTCTACTCACTCAACTGCGTTCAAAATATCAAGAAGCAACCGATCTTACGACATCATCCACATTTTATACAGTTGCATATACGCGCACAGAATTTCATTTTTTCTACAAGTCAGAGCTTTGTCTAACGTATACGTTGAAGAGAAGAGGTCATGTGATAAGGTATACTGACATAGTTGTCTTCATCCACGGTTTCAAAATCTGGCTCTGTAGCTGACTCATCGCACAGGAACACCACTCTGGAATGTGGATTGTCGATACTAGGATCGCTTTAAAGCAAAGGATTTTGTCAGGTTCAAAATTTTGACTTAGAGTCAGCTTTAAGAGATAGGATATTTGTTGTCTATTCATCGTAAATATGTTTGGGAAAGCAAATTGGATCAAATCTATCCATATAAATGTAACGAGCCCTGGTAAAGTTGACCGGTCACATTCAAGTCAATTGACAGTTAATGTAATTTTTCCCGCACGCACATCTTTGGTTGATCCGAAGATATCTGATGAATTTCTTTTAGTCCTGGCACGTGAAAGGTTTCTTGAAGGTTTAAATTCTATTTCTTCACCCAAAGAAATTCAGAGCACTTGCTGTTACCAGTTTGCGCACAGAAAAATGTTTAATTTATTATAATCTCCATAATGACATGCTTACGGATTCTGGATCAAGATGCGAAAGTGATATCAGCAACCTTTGCCTTTCAGTCAACAAACAAGCTTAATAGAAGGAAATCTTTCTTAGCAAAAATTAGTTAATTACATGGTAGGGAATCGAAAAAAAGCTTACTTGGTCTTATACACGAGCTCTATCTGTCCTTCTTGGTTTATGTCACACATGATGTCTTTTTGCAAACCAACCTCAAAGTACTCGCGCGGTTTTTCAATCTCTGCGTATTTGCAAATCTGGAGGGATCGAAACGACAATTTATTTCTAAGAAAAACCATGAGCATAAAACTTACCGTTCTTATCAAGTAATTCAAATGTCAAAAAAGAAATCTTTGAAAAATCTTTCCCATAGTAACTATGTCATATTGAAATGAGCAATCATTTCATCTAGGAAGTTGATACATAGTTGAATTAAGTAACGTTACAAAAGGAGATGATCGTAATTTTTTCACATGAAAACAGAGAGCAGTCTGCAAAGGAGGTATGTAAGAAAAGAGGAAGAGAGAACCACAATTAAAACACCAGAAAGCTGCAATTAGCGCCAGAAACAATAAAAATCATTAAAACAACTAATTTTTATCAGCAACAGAAAAAAGTAAACAAAAGCAATTATGATAACAGCAGTAACGGAAGCGTTTAAGTTTTAAAAAGAAATCAGTCAAAAGTCACAGGATAAACTCACAGCAACATCTCGACATATTTTGTGAGGATCGGCATCAGGATCATGTTCTCCCACATCTACAGGCGTACAAGGATTGTACGTGTATCGCCAACCAGGATATTTCTTTCCAGGAATCAAAAACCTGTTTTAAAAACATTGAGAGAAACCGTCTGAGTCACGTAATCCTATCGAAATGTCAGTGCACTCGGTAAATATGAGTTGTCTCTGAAATACATGGGAAAAACTGAGAAACTCCTTGGTACAATATCTACTTGATTCAAACATGTCATCATCAGCTTAAGAATTACGAGGTAATCTGGTTTTATCAACTGAGTTAATCATGTATATTTGGGCCACCGTAGAGAGTTTCTAAAGCTGATATTGGGGTTTTGACCTCAGAACGAATGACGAAGGCTAACGCTCGAGGCGTCAGCTTTAGAAACTCTTTTCGGTGGCCAAAATACACATTATCAACTCAATTGATTATGTATATTAAAGATATACATAATAAGTATAAGATACACAGAATTAGTTCATCAGAGTACAATTCCTTTAAAGAAGAGCAGTAAAATAGTATTTTCTTCACGCCCCCTTCAGATGTTGTGATGTTTTTCTCTACGTCGAGAAAAATTATCCTGCTTTTGTCCTGTGATAGACCAAATATTCACTTACCACTTCTTCATGTACAAGAAGTGGTAGCAAAATTAGCAAAAATGACTGTATTTATCATTTAGTATCCATGAACCCAACAAGAAAACCATCGAGGCAGCACTGATGCCGAGGCTGTGAATATCGATTGTACTGACAACCTTGTGTACCTTGGTTTTCCGTCTGTTCTACGCAGCGGCATCAAGCTGTAGATTCCTCCATCGAATGTCTTACATGTACAGTTGTTGACTATAGTGATACCCTGGCCGGAACACTCATCGATACACCATAATAGTATGAGTCCTAACAATTGTTTGATTTTCATTTTAGCCTAGAGGAAGTCAATCGAAAAATCAAGTTAAACGGACTGCATCAAAGCTGATTAAATTGAGAAAGGATTGTGCATCGGCATGAATTAAGAAGCAGTTTCAGAAGCAAACAAATGAAACGCGTACTAGATAATACTTCCCTCTGTCGGTTACCTATTCTTGGTACTGTGTTTATTCGAAAAAATGATAAAAGCAGAATCTTTCAACTTAAAAGTACTCAATGGGAGGTTTGTAGTCTCGTGACTGATAACACAATTCTCAGAATTAGCCTAGGTGTCAAATTGTTTATACTTGCGCAATAACTGGACGATTGCGAAACTTCTCGTCGAATGACTCCATCGCCTGAGTAGAATAACAAGCACATGTTTCGCAAATGGTTACATTTCCTATGCATATTTTCTATTCGTGAAACGTTTTTGCTTCCTCGTGCGATGATAAGTACTTAGTCTGATGCTATTTCACAGAGATCCAAAAATTTTCCACAAGGAATCGATGATGCGCCTTAACACGTATCTTCGTGCTGATTCAACCACTAAACCGAATGTGTAATTCTCATTGCATGTGAGAGTTATGTTTTGCTTTTTTTTTTCATCTGAACCCACCACAAGATTATCTGAGATTCAAGATATGGGCTTCCCTAGTTTTAGATCATTTCTACGAAATTAAAAGTTTCATTATTCCTCGGATGTCAACTCATCCTTGCAAATCAGTTGTTATTTACAGACTGCGAAGACCTAACCTCGAATTTTAAACGAACCGTGTATCGACTTTTGCACGTTGTAGGTAAAAATTTAGCAATCTAGAGCATTTCAATGGAACTAGAGAACTTGTGAGTTAAATTCATCTCTCAGGAACACGACACAGAAGGAAAATCTAATCCCGCTGGAGGTCCGATGCCAGATCTTTTAGCTGCAGAGAACTCACGCGAAGAAAAGGCTATTACCTACATTCTTATGTATCAATATCTTACTTCGAAGTGAATCCTGGCTCTGCGAGGTTGCGACTGAAAATCGCAATTTCCGGGAATTTCCTTAAAGCCTGCTTCTAGATGTTGTCACGCTCGTTGTCACTGCAAATGAGGTCAATATTTATTCTCGGAAATTCCGGATGTTTTCTCTTTTCTTTTTCGCAAGCCAAATGTCAAAAGTGATTGATTGCGAAGAATACACCAGTAATAGTCACTACTTCATAACAAGATAATCCAAAATTTGCATCTGGCCATACAAAGGTCTTTCAACTTCGGATCAGGAGCCAGCCAAAAGAAGAATCAGAGTTTTCCGCTTAGGAAAAAGCTTTGTTTCGTGAAAAGGGGGTAGATGTCTTCTTCTACTTAACAAAAAGCTACAATAACGCCCAAGGTATTTACGATTCTATCACCCAGTATTCAGTACTGAATTACATTTGTTTGTGCAATGTACCGTGCATTTTCTGAAATCGCGTGTCGGTAGAAGTGAAGTGAATGTATTGCCAGTTGAAATTTCCGTTTGCTAACTAAATTTAATGTCTGAATAAATCAATTTGGCACAAGTAGAGGAAAACAGCATGATATAAAATCGATCAATTTGCGTAGATTTTATAAACGGAAACCAAGCGTTAGCTATTTATTGACGTGCCCAGGCAGATGTTTACAGCCTAATTTTTCTCTGAAATTCACCTTCGTTGGTAAACATTTTACAAGCAATGTTCAAACCACTGTTGTTGTTAGAGAAAAGGTAAGACATTTTTTCTAGGCTTCAATGGGGATGGTTCAACTGGCCTTCATCGATCGCAAGTCGAAAAGAACATATTCAGAATGACTGAAAAATGTTAGATTGATAAGAAAACGTAGCCCTGAACTGGCATGGTCCTAAAACTTCCAAAGAATCGGGCTCTGGAAATATGTTGCTCCGTTACTTCAGCGACAAGCTATGTCAAATATAAATCTGCTTGATTTCAGCTTCACTCGCGAAATTCAGGTTACTTACACGATGTAATGCTTTTCGTGTTGCCTTTGTACTTTCTCTTTCTTCTCTAGGTTATAAGATGGAGAACAAGTGCCTATTAGGATTGATTTTTCTGTCGTGCATTAATAGATGCATTGCCCAGAGCATTCAAACAATCAACAACTGCACGTGTCGGACATCTGATGGTAACTTTTATAGTCTGTGGCCCTTCAGAGGAACAGAAAAACCGCGGTATGTTAAGTTTTCTTTTCTGCTTTCCATCTTGTTTTTAAGTGACGATGAAACGATATTTTTCAAGGGACTTCCATCCTTCTATTTAGGGTTAATATTAAATTATATCAATCATAATCATGGAGAATGGCTTGGTTAAGATACATGAAGTCTCGATTTGCCTTTTGGGAACAAAATCTTTATTATCATGAATTGTTCTCAAGCTGATCGCTCAAGACTCGTTTATATGCATTGAATGATCCGTTCTTTACTAAGAAGTTGCTCTGTCCATGATTCTGTTTTAAACGAATGGGGAGCATAAGGGGTTCCCAATAATCTGCGACGTCTCTTTTTGTCAATAAAAGAGATAATTTAGAATGATAAAAACAACCTGGCATGCACTCAAATGCCAAATACCTCTGAAGTTAGCATATGCTTTCCTCCTGGAAAATCTTTTGCACTCCTTTTGATAATACCTTTGTAATTCTGTTCTTATAATTTATTTTTTTTCATGTGGACAATAGCTTTGATGTTCCTGGAAAGAAGTACCCTGGTTGGAGGTATGCTTATAATCCTTGTACCTCTATGACATTTGGACAAGATGATCCACACCATGGAAAGATATGTCATGATATCGGAGTAGGTTCATCAGACAGCCTTTCATTTCTAAAACTTTGCAGTGTTATGTTGTCATTGTTTTTGTTCTGTTGTTTCAGTAGCTTCCTGTTTCCGATAATTGTAGCTATTCAGCATTGCCAAATTAATGTTCTGCATTCTTTTTTTCTGAGAATACCTTGTTGATTTTTCTTCGCATCCAAGCATCTTTTACAGAAATTCCAATGTTTTAAAAACCACAGGAAGCTGATTTTTATTGTTAAATTTTATTTAGATATGTAAATATCCTAAAATAGAAAAACCGCGTGATTACCTACAAGTTGGTGTGCAGACGGGGGTCAGATGTGAAATAAACGAAGGACAAATTGGGCTGTCGTATAAAACAGAGTAGGTATTTCTTACAAACGAATACAAGCCATTCTTATGTTGAAATATTCTGTCAGGCGCCAATTTAAGTTATGTCATCTCAAAGAGTTGCTGCATTATCAGTCGACATACCAGCCCCCTAAGGGGTTTATTTACTGAATACAACGATCAGGTATCATTTGATAAAAATTCGTCTTCAAGCGTTGAAAATCTCTGAAATTAATCTCGCTATTACCAATTCAGTAGCAATAAACAAAATTCAAAAGTACTTAACTTTTGCACATATCATTGCAGCGATCCGTCTATCGACCCTCCAAGATCAACGGTACAGCTTATTTGTGACCAGACTATTTCATTCCCGGTTTTTGAACCCAAGGATGAAGATAGATATGTTAGTATGACTTTTTATTGTTGATTTCTGGTTGTTGTTGTTGTTGTTGTTGTGTTTTTTTGTTTCTGATTATTTATACTTTGGAAAGGGATGTGACTCCCTCAATTCTATATTCTTACTGTTTCTTTGGGAGAGGGGGTGGGGGGAGGGTGAGTATCTGTCAATTTTTTAGGCGGTTCTGAACTCTAAAAATTTGACAACTAGATAAGGAGCTGAAGTTAGAACCGGCATCAAATTTTTTTTGTGGGAATTGCAAACAAATTATAATGAGAAGCGATGGAAAAATATACATTTTCGGAATAAAGTTATACTAACCATAATCTTTAACAGGGGTTTCATGTTATTCCATGTCATAGATATTCAGTATAAAAACCAAGTGCGCATGTCCAAATCAGTGTTGGCCTGTAATAACGACGACAACAGGCTCAACGAAGGTAATACCGACGACAACAGGCTCAACGAAGATAATAACGACGACACCAGGCCCCACGAAGGTAATACCGACGTCAACTTCAAATTCAACCGTACACAGTCCTGAAGGTAATTGCCAAGATTTGTTTGGACTTTGTACGTGAACGGACTACAGCGTTCCCCTTTTGTGCGTGGATGGGAGGGAGGGGGGAGGGAGGGGGGAGCGAGGGGGAGCGAGGAGGGGCGGGAAGGGGAAGGAGAGGGAGAGGTAGAGGGAGGGGGGAGGGAGCGGGGAGGGAGGCGGGAGGGGCGGGGTAAAAGGGGAGAGGAGGGTATTGTTTCGAAAGCAACCATATCAAAAGATTGTGTCATTATCCTTACATCCAGAAATAAAATCCGAGATTCTAATTTTGCATGTTGGCGGTTGCCAATCTCTATAATCTCTACGAGGAAGACCTTATTCAGATCATGTAAATGATAAACCATCAATTCAATCAGACCTGGAAAGCTTTTAGTGTTATAGTGAATGTTCATGGTCGGTTATGCTACTGTTTATATTGATCAGTATCTCATCGATACTTTGCAACGAAAAGATACTTCAGCTTTCAACTAGGGAGTATCTCTTAGCTTAGCTTTTTATCAATCGTGGCCACTACCCTAAAGCCACCAATAGAATTGTAATTGCTATTTCAATTATCATTTGGGAAAAACATACGTATTTTTGCTGAAATCGAAAAAATGTCCGAGATTAAGTTCGCTTAAGTTGCTTATAAAAACTATTTGCACACGTGCTCTTTCATATATCAAAAAATGATAAATTTGAGGAATATTTCTTTACGCCATCTTAATTATTTTTATTTTCTCCCTCTGATGAACGTTTACCTCATTGCATAACGCCTCGAACATTCATTCCACAGAAGAGTCGAAGGTACTTCATGGTTAACGTATCCAGCAGAATTTTTTTTGTATTATGAAGAAAAAAAAAACAATTTCGACCTGAGTTCATAAAGACCTTTGTTAATTTCAGATTCAAAGTCGTTTAATTGGGAGCTGTGCATTTTGGTACCGGGTCTTGCAGGATTTTTCATCATGCTTTGTTCTCTATGCCTGTGGCGGCATTTTGCTGCTGTTAGAGAGGCATTGAGGTGCCGATGCTGCCATCATGGAGAGTGTGAACCGTTAATAAGAATACAAAAAAACGATCTTGGAAAAACAGAGAAAACCTATCGTATCAAAAACAAACAAGGAGATAAGGCTGTTGAACACGAGGATTTTGGAGGAAAAGACAAAATGGTCGAGCCAGTTCAAGAGTTAGACGTGGGAGACAAGTCTCAAACTGTTGGGAAAAATAACGTTTTATCATTAATCCTGTAACAAAAGCGAACCCTTGTTCAGGTGTTGGGTCCTTATTTCCAGGGCTTGCCCAAAGGGCAAAGGCCAAGTATAGGTTTGGCCTTCGTATTTTTTTTTTCGCGTTCAGCCACAAATCGCCCCCTGAATTATAAAGGGCATCTGTGAAGCTAGCTCTCGTTATTAATTTTTTTTGTTTATAAATAGTCTTGCAGTTGTCTTCAGTTCATATATCTGAGGGGTGGGAAAGAGACAGATTTTTTTCTCGAATGTAAGGAGAAGTCAACAGATTTCAAAATAGCGTCTGATGCGAATCGGACGGGAAAATTATCAGGGTGGTTCCCCCCCCCCCCCTTTTATCAGGGTGGTTTTTCTCCCTTTTCCTCTATCCTTGATCAAAAAACACCTTTGTAGACCTCAAAAATGAAAAGAGATGTGCGAGAGAATTATCAGTAGGAAGTAAAATAGCTTCGAAGCTTTAAAAACGGGATGACAGCAGTCGTCACGATCGGTAGTTGCTTGATCGAATGCATCAAATCAGTTTATTTGAAGGACGAGGAGTAGTTTAGGCGTAGGAAGACTGAAAATTTTAATAAAAAAGCATCCAATTGAATTGTCATTCACAGTCATTCTAAAACATTTAATATTGTCGATAATTCTGCCGTGACGATGCATTAGAAACGTCTGCCTGGCCAAGTGAGACAAACATGATTACAACAAATTTCCAAAGTGGCAACGATCGATCGTTGCTTTATCAGATACTTCAAATCAGTTCATTTGAAGGACGAGGAGTTGTTCAGGCGCCGGAAGGATGCTCATTTTAGTTTAAGAGAACTTCAAGTTCGATCTATATCTAGTAACGATGCATTTAATACCATCTTTCGAGTTCGAAATGAATTGAGTCGAGGCACACTACGAACATCTAAAAGATTGTTTACGATCTAATGGGAAACGCAATGATTATTTTGTGTAAAAAGTAGCAGCTAGCTGAAACACTGGTTGAAACGCTATGATCAAGTATGCCCCGGTCTGACATAGTCACACTTTGGGAATTTGCTGTCACAAACCTCGAATTTCAACTCGAAAAGACTTTACGATGTTAAGTGCAACGCGAGCCGTGTGAAGAGGGTAGACGTGTGCACAAAAGTCAGGTAATAGGGAAAATTCGGACATGACAACACGGGAAGCCCGAGTTTACGCACATATGCTTCTTGTTTTAGTGAACGGGCAATCTTGCTTTCCTTGAGGCAAATATTAATCGAAGTCTCAATTACTAATAATTCGCGCACCAAATTCCTCCCTCAAAAAATTTCTACGTTTGATATGACATGAAGTCTTAAACATATAACCCTCGTCATTCACTGCTTCTGTTGTAACTTGAATTCTTATAGAGGGTGTATGTAATGGTAGAACATGTACGGTGAGCATCAATAAAATTATCAACCAACATTACCAAGTATATCACATGATGTCATTTCTCAGTGCTTCTGGACAAATTAAAATTATCGAGGCATGTTTTTTGACTTGAAAAGACATTTTGACTTGCGCCAAGTATTTTTTCTGTTTTAATTTTGCGAGTAGTTAAATGATTGATCCGATGTTAGACTGATGATCTGGTAGGTCTATGCTTTTGTTTACCATGACAATATATGAGTCCTGATACATGTCAGGTCTTTATTTAAGCCTAAAAGAATGAAATTTGCTCATAAATTTTTACTGAAAATGTCAATGTTGTTGAACTGAGGTTGCCGATTACCTCATGATAAACCAGAAAAAGGACTTAAAATTTTTTGATTAGCCAACGTATTGGAGCCGGAAGCAACTGCAATTAAATTAGAAGCCATTCTTAGAAATCCAAGCCATTTGAGAAACCTTCCTTTGCAAGATGATCTTTTGATTTGCCGCTAACTCTTGCATTATGTTGGCTCCAGCTCCTAAAATAAATCCAAGTACTTGTTCTGGCACATTACACCGCAAGATGCAAAACCTGGCCTGAAGCGACAGATAAACGAAAGTTAGTAGGATACTAAAATTTGATGTTTTGCGCAGAAATCTTTAATTTTTTTCTCAAATTATTTAAAGTTATCGCGCCTCTTGACAGTACTTACAAAATTTCGAATTTCACTAACACAATCCCACTACCGGTTTTTCTCGAAATGTGTACGATGACCTTTTCATCACGGCGATGAGACAAAAGTTTCAAATTACTTTCATGAAATTGTAGGGTGTTCAAAACGCATTTACTTTTTCCATTCAACTTAGGATCTAACTTGAGAAAAGATTACAGATCGTCCTAGCCAAGCCACGTAGGACAACTGCAATTTCGCATAGTCGAGGCGAAATTGATCAGCTTAGCGAACCCACTGAAACTGCCTTCTATCGCAGCGGTATCAATTATTGTTCTCGGGAATGTGGAAAAATAATATTTGTGCTGTGACACTCTTCATTTGGAAAAACGCGTAGTATATCAACATATCCTAAACGTAAGAAAAAGCTCTATAGATTGAATTTGACAGCGCACCAAGCATCAATAGTTGAACTGAGGTAAGAATTTTCTTCACTAGCAACATTCACGATTTTTTAAATGATAATTGCATGTATGTGCGTTGATGAGAACATTTACCTCTCATTAATGGAGTGGGAAAGAGGCAAAGTGTGTAAAGATGCATATAAATGCGATGCCGGCTTCGATATTTGGCATATTTAGTTTGGTTTCGGTGCACAAGATTACCAAATGTAGAATACTGAAGGAAAGAGCCACTGCGTTACTAGGATTTTGATTCCCGGAAAGCTCCTGCGTAGGAAGCGATCGATTTCACAACTCCAAGACAAATATTGCAAACAACAGACGGTGATTGCTACCATGATATCGCTGAACCGTAAAAGTGCATATTTTACTCCATTGCCTCCTAAACGACTTCAGTGCAGTTTACTAAGAGTATATTGCAGTATGCGAGTGCGATCTTAGTCAGGTTTGTCTTGCACTTCACTTTGTTCATCCGATTGCTTTTTCTCCTTCAGGCACATCTTGCCTACTATAGTGTATGTGTTTCAGCGTACAATCGCTGTCGTGCTTTAATGTATAAGTCAGTTACAGTACAAATGTTTGTTGCTGTTGCTGTAGGAAAGTTTTTTTGAAGTGACATTTCATAACAAGTTGTTTAGGTTAAAATTTTATAAGAGTTTGGGATTTTAGGTTTTGATGCTTTCATACTCAGTGGTAGAGTAAAGTAGTGAAATTGTTTTCTTACTGCTGTTATTAGGTACTCAGGATAAAATGAACTCTTCTTCCTTGGTATTTACATCAGTGATACTGCATGTTATCATTTCATATATGTGTGGAAAACATGCATGTTTTGCGTACCGCTGGAAGGCTTCACCAGACAACTGTACATGCATCCGCACTGGCCTTTCAACTTACAGCTTGTTTTCTCTTCGAGGACAAAGGTGATTCATTAAATAACCATTTAAGCAAGATTAGTCATTGACTTAAGATAACCGCTATATGAAAACTTAATAAAATTCAATTTTCCTTTCTTTCTTCAATTTATAGCCAAGGTTATAGGTAAAGAGATCCTCATACCACCTAAAAATAGCAAAGAGCTTATTCATGTAGAGATGTGAGAGAGTTAAACAGGTTTTATTATCCGATAGAAAGTATAAGTAAGGGCTAAAAACACAATCATTATACGTCTTCATATATAAATGATTAGGAAACAAAGTATTACGGTACATCTTCACCGCACCTGGCTGTCGTAGCTTAAACGCTTGAGGTTTATTCATTCAAAATAGTATGTTGAAGTTGAGAGATGTCAACAAGAAATGAATTTAGAGGAGGAGTGCTAATGGCTATTGCTTGGACAAAATTTTGCGCTCCATTTTCTTAATGCATCAATGACTTACGCAATGTTTCCTCAAACTATGAATACTCAATACATTCAGTTTACGAAATGTACCTTAACATTCATTTAAATCGTCATGGGCCAGCACTTAAATATATTTTCAGTTTTGGGATGGCGAAGAACTGCTCTAGTGAAGGGTTGTAGATTGATTGAATTTATCTTAATCAATTGGTATCAATTTAGATCATGACAATATGGCCATATATACACTCAATAAAAAGGCTGAGCTCTTTAATTTGCTTTGCTTTTACATAGAATTTATGGGTCAGGATTTCGCCAACAGCAAAGTTACACATACTCCTTCATGCCTTGTGTGCCCGATAATTTGCACTCACGTGAGGGAAATTGCACAAACGTGGCAGTAAGTAATCCTTTATTTCTGGCTTAAGATTGTTTTAACTGATTTTTTTTATAATTTCCACCAATGCAGATTAGTTCGTTTCGAGCTCAAAAGAAAGCGAAACGCTGGCATGTCCGAGCCCATGTAAATTTGATAAGGGATCACGAATCGACACCTGCTGTATTCGAATGTTGCCTAGTCATAGACCCCAATTGATCTTACTCAAGCAAATTCTGTGCCTCTAGATTATCTCAGACTTGTTACCACTACAACCGCTATAACATTCAGGGACAAGGTCTTTTCACTGCAGACTTAATGAAGACACATTTTTTTTTCTTGAAAAGGACTAAGGCTTCCACTTATAGGTAAGTTACTCAGACGTGTAACAAAAACACAAGTTAGGGGTTAATCATTGCTTTACAGCTTATTGATTACAAAGTTATATAAAGCCTTAATTCAATTGTAGCTATGTAAATACGACACGGATGGAATTCCACCTGTGTTCACAGACTTGGGTGAACAAGGAGATGTTATGTGCGAAGAAACAGATGAATACAGATTTGCACTAATATATCCTATAAAGTGAGTGTAGTCTTGTTTTTATTTGGTCGATTTAACCTCCCTTTTCATCGTCTCGTTTTAATTTCCGTCTATAGACGGGGTCATTAAGCTAAATAGCTGGAGTTTGAACCGAGTTAAAGATTTATCATTTTCCTTTTTCAGGAAGAGTCCTCACTCAATAAGTCACCCAAGGTTGTTGTCGAATGCGATAATGATCCTCATGCAAAACCTGTGTTAAGTCTAATAAGCGAGGAAAGTTTGGTAAGACATCGAGTTCGAGAAATTATAAATAGTTTCGAAAATAATCCCAGATTGCTTTGGTCTGGCTTTTAGTTCACTTTGTAATCGTTCTAGAAAACTCTCACCAATCCCTTAAGCTTTTTATATCAGATGGTAACTTAAAACCAATCTTTACATGGTAACTGGCGCTTTCCCGCGCTACAAGCGATTTAATGGTCTTTATTACGAATGGTCTTTATTGCAAGTAATCAGTTGCTTTTTATCATATATATATATATATATATATATATATATATACATACACACACACACATATATATATATATATATATATATATATATATATATATATATATATATATATATATATACATATATATATATGTATGATCTTCTTTACCGTCTGGATATTTTTGTTACTTTCGATTTGGTTTTAAGACACTCTTTGGCTGTTACATATATCGACATTTCATCGTTACATCCTTTATTTGGACATCTGATTTAAAAGTCTTGACTTATTGTAACTAACGAAACGTGAAAAGCCAACTATTCTTCAGAAATGGAACAGAACTTCCTGAGCATTATATGTTTCTCCTCTAAAACCTCCTTGGGAATGACATATTTGAAATGAAAACGACATCGAGGTTTTTAATGTGTTTTCTTTCGGTGATTACGTAGGTTATTTCCAGACGATAACACCTTGTTAGTTAGGTAAAAATGCTAGCAATCTAGATATCGATTTAATGGTCTTTATGACGAATAATCAATTGCTTATAATAGAAATTAATTAATATTTTCTTGTTTTATAGATATTCAGCTTAAAGGCCTTTTGCGGATGTCCAAATCAATGTTTACCACCTAAGACTAATAATACTGTAACATTCGGTGATATTGTTTCACCGACTCGGGTAACCTCAACTTCAACCAAGACGAGACCAAAATCTACACCTGGGGGTAAATGTTCAGACTCTTATTGTTTCAGATTCAGCGTTAACAAAATCATCCGTGTTCACCTTTTGTTTGACACAAAACAAAGGTCTGGAAAGTTGTAACTATTTGTGCCAAATTTCGTTCACTTGCCTATGGCAAGAGATCATTTGATCCCTTGCCAATAATTATACAAGAGTGTGCTTTTCTTTTAAGGCTCTTCTTTGAGTTTGGTTGCTGTGGCCCTCCATATATTGGTACCATGTCTTGGAACATTTTTCTTCATCTTAATCTGTTTATGCTTGTGGTGGCATCATGCCACTATCAAGAATGCTCTGATGCGGCTCAGATGCTGCCACTTTTGTGATGAGCATGACGCCTTCGAACGAGTGGAAAGAATTGGGCGTACAACAGAAAGAAGTCGTCTTTTCAGGAACCAACAGAGCTACAGAGCTGTTGGACAGGAAGATTCCGTAGA